AGTTCAATACGCAACAAGTTCTTTCAAGTAAAAGTTTTAAATATATTGGATCATATTAAATAGCATAAAAAGATTAATGAAGATATTTTTCATATAGTAAAAAAATAAAAGTTAAGAGACATTAAAAGTCTTTGTGATATTAAAAGAAAAAATTTTAAAGACAATGGTCAAATCAATAATGTTTTATGGATTTAAGTATTGGATAATTGAGAAATAATATATACAAAAAATTTGTCTTATTGGTATGAGATGTTAAAATAGATTTGTAGTCTTTAGAAAAGATTAAAAAAATAATATTTTTATTTATAAATAATTAGATATCATTTTAATAGATGATAAAATAAGATAAAATTATTTAAGATAATATAAATATACTCAAGATACTTGTGGATGTGATCATTATAAGAAGTGAAATAAATAATTACTATTAGTGATATGAGAAAATATAAAGAAAAACCTAAAAGTTATTAATGGAAACTATAAATAAATATTTAAATACTCTTAGTCTAACTAAACACATGATTTTTTATAGATATCAATGATAGTAAAAATCTCAAATAATTAGAATTTATTACTTCTTTTATTAATAATAATAATAATAAAAGTGATGATCATACCTTGCTATAAACATCCAAAGTCTTAATTCATCAAGACAGTTGACATCTTCAAGACAAAATGATTTTGAGTTCAATTGAATTTTTGTCCAAAATACAAATTTTGGGTAGAGGTGCTCATATTCGTTTTCTTATCTTTCTTTCATTTTCTTTCTTTGGATTACAAAGCTGTTGTCTTTTACTTATTTGGTCAATTTGTAGTGCCAACAAAAGTCGTCCAAGCCTACTAGAATTGAGCATCAATTCGCTTGTATTGCATTAATTGGAAGTCTCTTATTTAACATTTTGTTTCTAGCAGCAATTTAATGGCGAAGAAAAAACTGAAACTTGGGGCTACTTCTAATCTCCTTTTGCCCAACTCTAGCTGATCAGAAACAAGCTTTTTTACATATCCAGGCTTTTATAGTACTGAATCTAACTCGTGAATTGGCCTTCTGCAACTGCTTCAGCATTCATGGGATGAACACTAGCAATGGGTTTTGTAACTCATGTTTATGTTACTTCAACTGCTCTGAACTAGTGGTTACTTGCACAATAGCAGAAAAGAAACTACACTTCCCCCAATAAATTTCTACAACCAAGCACACATCTCATAGTTTGACTACATTGTTTCCTTTTGCATGCTTCCGCTTTCTCTGCTGATATCTCTGAGATGAAAGGTGGGGTGCTGGAAGTTCTTTTAGTGAGTGCTGAAGACCTCAAGCATCTTCATTTACTTGGTCATCTCTCTCTTCCTCCATCTCTTTATCTGTATCTATATTGATTGGTAGAGGCTTGTGTGTGTGTGTGTGTGTGAGAGAGAGAGAGAGAGAGAGACAATTAATGGATTTGTGTGCTACAGATTTGAAATTTCTCCAGAAAGAAAACAGTAGCCTAACCTGCCTGGTTTTGTTTTGTGCAGGATCATCAAAATATTATGTGATTCTGCAATGTGGCAACCTAGTCTGTACTAGCAAAATCAAAGAAGGTGTGTGCTCTTTTTTGTTAATTCCTTCTCCATTAATCCACAGGAATGAAACTCTTGCTCTTTATCCAAGTTTTGCCTTCAGAAAATAGTTGGCCAGCCGTATTGTTTTCTAGTTTGTCCTTAGTCAGCCTCAAGCAAAAATAAGGATATCTCTATAGGGCATCCAAACTCAACTCTTCACCCAAAAAAGGAAAGAAAAGAGAAAAGATAGTCTCATCTCATCTACCTTTCAACAGCAGATGTCATTTGTCAGTCAGTACTTAAGAAGCAGATGTCATTTATTAGGATTTCAACAGCCTCAGTCAGTACTAGAACCTTATGCTAATTTGTTTTCCTCTTAAATGATATGATCAAACCATTTTCTATTTGCTTTTTTTATTCCTTTGGACAGAAAAGAAATTTGTTCAAACAACTAAATAAAAAAAAAATGAAACATTCACCTTAAGAGTAAGTCTCATAGCATCACCTTGTTAAGACATGTGCCTATTTAATACTTCTTCTCACCTGTGTTACAGGAGAAGGGGAAAAGGTTTGGTGGAACGAGAAATTCACACTCAAGCTATCTTCTTCAGAATGGAAAAACATGATGATGCTTAAGCTGAGGATCATGAAAAAGGACAAGTTCTGCGATGACCGCTCTGTTGGTGATGCCATGTAATATTTTTTCAACCTCACACAAATATTTCATACATCTTTACCAAGTACCAAGCTGCAAACTATAAAATCTCAGTTCCGTACTAACACTGATCGGTGGACAGAATGATATAACACTGGCAAGAAGATGATGACAGTCATCAAATGTACACATTGTCATTTAAATCATGGTTACACAACATATCATGATTTCATGCTTATCGATTGTGATGTAGAGTCTGACTAAGATTTGAGTAATTATGTACAAACTAGTTCCAAGACTTACTCCTATAAGCATGATGCAGAGTTTATCTGAGAGGTGTCCTGAAAGACGGAAGTGAGAAAGGTTGCCTAGAGCTAAAGCCAGCTCCATACAATGTAGTCCTTGAAGATGGCACATACAAAGGCGAGGTGAAGGTTGGCCTTAAGCTCATCTCAGATGTAAGTACATAGGTGCAGAATCAATAGAAAGATAAACAGAATATTTTAAAGTCAATATTTTGATTTAAATGATGCAATTAGTTTTATGTGCTAACATATGGATGTAAATAGTTGTGTAAAAGTTGATCAGGGGGTAAATCAAGAGTTTCTGGTAAGCCATATGCATGTACATATTCTCATCTCTTCACTGCAAAATGTGCATAACAAAGAATGAAATATGCATATCTCTGCATGCTTTCTTAGAGTCCATCTCAAAAGGATGAATGAGAGGTAAGTTGACAACCATAATCAAACAGATCCATTCAGATTAATATTTAATGAGATGTTATTGATTTAATCCTCTTTGTTATATAGGAATGCAAAATAAATCTCATAGAGAATTAGTATTTTCAAATGCATTCCTGGTTTATCTATATAGTAAAGGTTATCATATATAGTGAAAATTCTGCAATGGTATATGGAATTTATGATTGCATCTCTATGGCATATGTCAGTAACAATTTACAAACTTTTCTCAAGCAGCCAGTAATGTCCTTGTTTTATATATACAGGTAGAGGTGGATCTACAAACAGAGAGAAGAGGATGCACAATAACTGAGAGACAACCACGTTCAATATATAGAATCATCCTCAATTATACTCTGCAGAGAATACCATGGGCAAGATTCCTGTTTCTCCACAATCATGCTACTAATGCAGACGGTAAGACAGATTAATAGATGACTCACCAACTTGGGCAAATCTTGATTCACAAATCCATATTGTTGTAATCAGTGGAAATATTTTCAGTATAAGCATAGAAAATTGATGAACCAAGATAATCTTATTATAAGTACAACTTTGTTTGAATAAATGTCACTCTTCATTGTTTTTAAACAAATTAATTCTTGGACCAAGCATTTCCAGCTGGTGATAGCCAATGGCAGAAAATGCCACTATCATGGAAAATTAGCCACGGGAAACTAATTGATTGTCCAGCTTAGAAGTTTATTTAAGTCCTAAATGAAATTTCCATGTATAATTTGCATCGATAAGAAGAGTTAGGAGTTCTATTGTGCAATCAAAGTGATGCTACTTACTCTTAAAACCCCCTATAGGCAATCCTTTAGCAACTACTAATTAAGGCCACTGTTCTGAATTATCATATATAAACTAGATAACTATGAGCAACATATTTTATCAGCAGGTTCTTCTTTTGAATATTTATATTGAAGATTTTACCAATGGATGTGTATGGAATCCCTATCGAACTAGGAATATCCAATTATATATATATATATATATATATATATATATATATATATATATATATATAGTGTGTGTGTGTGTGTGTGTG